GTCGTCGTCGTCGCCGTCGTAGTCGTCGTCATCGTCATTGTCATCATCGTCATTGTCGTCATCGTCATTGTCATCATCGTCATTGTCATCATCGTCATTGTAGTCGCGTTTGACGTTTTCATAATTCTTTTCTTCCATATTTAGTATGGAAGAATTTTTTAGTTTCTCTGTCTAACTAATTAAAAAGAATATAGAATATTAATTTAATATAAATTTAAAAAAGAACATAGAATATTAATATAATATTAATTTATTATCTGTCAATTTAGTTAATAATATTTAACTAATAATACTTTATGTACAAAATTTTCTAAGTTGGGAAATAAATAAAAATTTTAATAAGTTTGCTCAATGTTGTTTGTTTTCACAACTTCGGATTATATCGAATACTGGCCATCCTCTGTGTTCATCCTGTACCTACGTCCACTTAATGAATGTAAATGGGACTAAATGGGACTTATGACGACATCTGTTTCATGTCCATAAATGTGTAGGAATAAAATAGACATAAAATGGATAGACGTCCATAGACATCTTGTGCTACTTGAGTGATACCACAAGAAACGTTTTTATTATGTGTTATATGTACTTATAAACTTTAAAATAATCGATTTTTGGGTTTTGACATTTTTTTAAAGTACGTACCTTTAACAATATTTTCTATAAATTTTAAATCAATCCGACAAAAATTGACGAAAAAGTTATGCAAATTTAAATATATATCAGTTCGAAGGTATAGAATGGCAACTGCACAAAAGCAGACTCTTTCTATAATACGATCATGTGAGTTATATATTTTATATCAATACAATTTATATTTGTGTTATGTAATTATATGAGTTTATACAAAGTGTTTGAATAAACCGATTTGGAAAATCAATCCGAAAATCAAGTTGTAGTAAGAGCGTTGAGCTGTTTATATTGCTGCTAATATCAATATTTAAAGATAATGTTGTCTCAAAATGCATTAAGCTATTGGAATAAGTACTGGCTTGAATGTTCATAGATATGTCGAAAAAGAAGACACTACGCTTATTAAAATTTCAATCCTTTGCTTTTGCATGCAGCAGAGGATTCAAGAGGCAAGAGTACTTCGGCAACAAATTTAAATTAAAGTTTTGAAGATTGCAATTCATTTGGAGAGTTTATTATATGGCTCTGGAAAGACGATTCCGTGTTAGTTAAAAAAATTTGCATTTACTTGATTGCAAATGTTAACTTAAAACTTTAAACGCGTTTTCTTTAACACATTTTTAAAATACGGTGACCAAAATATCTTAAAAACTACTACACCGATCATAATAAAATTTAGTAGACTTTTTTCAACATTAAAAGTTCTAATGCTCAATCATTTTCTGTTGTGTTTTTATTTTAATGATAAAGAATAAACGATTTTTTTGATTAGAAAATCATACTTCGACTTTAAACCACCGCCATTTTGTGGTTTGTTTGCCATGCAATGTTGTTGCTGTAAATGCTATAAGTTTGGTTCCCTCATATTCAATCTCGATAAAACTAGGCTCATTCGACGTATTGTTGCTCAAAATGAACGAATTTAGCAAAAAGAAGTATTGTTCTGCCTTATAAATCAAAATATTAATCGTTAAAGTTTGTTAGAATCTGTTACTTGCTACGCCCTGGTAAAGACGTTGATAGAGAATGATAGTAAAATCCTATCATTTTGAATATAATAAATTGTAAATTTGTAAATTCATTAATTTGAATCAGATCTTATAGGAATCTTGTAAAATCTTATAAAATCCGATAAAATACGATAGAATATTCCGATCGTAATGCTCTCGTGAGGTCAACGAGAAAATGATATAAATTTATAAAAAACGATATAAATTGATAAAAATCATATTGTTCTCAATCGTTCTCTATCAATTTACCAAGGCGATCTCACTCTGTTCCATACGTAGCTATATTTTCTCTTTGAAATTTTACTAAAAAAAATTTAGAGAGTATTCTTTTTTACTTTTAAATACATCTATAATGCAATAATTTTTATAGTTTTAATATAATTGTGTAGTTTTAATAAATTTTAATAATAAAAATATGCAATAATAGTTAAATTACATAAGAAAGTTTTTAAAATTACATAAGAAATAGTATAAGAAAGTTTTTGTGCATAAATATGTATAAATATGTATAAACATACATAATATAATAAATTATATATGTTTATAAACATTTATGCATAAACATTCTGAATAATCTATATTCTTTATCCTCGAATGAGACAGATGATGAAATGTGTCTCGTTTGCACAGAAAGTTATTTAAAAGTATTCCAGGAGAAGAGTGAATAGTAAAGAGTGCACGAAATGCACATGTGGACACATACTAAATGCATAAAAGGTAATAACGTATCGTATACATGTTATAACTGCAATTCGGATAACGATTCGGATTAGATAAAGTGTTATTTATCTAATAACAATGTTCAAAGTTATACTTTTTTTATTTTATAAATATGCTTGTGTTTAAAATGCATTTTTATGAAAGCCTTGATATGTAAAGATTAAATATACATTAATCTTCATTTTAATAATGTTAATCAAATTACCCCATATTATTCACCTTACCTTAACCCGGTCCCGAAACTAGTTCAATCAGATGGAATGCATTAGAAAAATGCATTTTTTTTATATTAGTTTCATATTATCAGTTTTTTCTTATTATTAAAATATTATTAGATAGTCAAATGTATGTAATAACTGGTATAAAATTTATTTTTTCGATAAGTCTCTCAATTTCGTCTGTTCGAAATTGAAAATTCGAAATTGAAAAATAAGTTTACTATCCCTGGTCTTCCCTACCATTTGGATTTACTTTTTCATTTGATGCATATCACTTGAGTTGAATAAATTTTATCTATTGTATAATAATTCTTAAAAGAGATTTTATATATATATATATATATAAGTTATATCAACCTTTATATATATATATATATATATATATATATATATATAAAAAGATTGATATAACTTATATATAATTTAAGTATATGTAAGGTTGAAATAGGAACACTTTTAATAAGAATGCAAAAGAAATGTAACATAACACTTAGATTTTGCCATATATAAATTAATAAAGATAGTTTAATTTACCAAAAAATCATCAATGTCGACAATGTCGTCAATGTCGTCGATGATGTCGATGTCGTCGCTGTCGTCACTGTCAATGGGATTGTCGGTAGTGCTAATGTCATCATCATCATCGTCATCATTATCGTTAGCATAGTTGTTGCAACGACGGCAAATTTTGTAATAGTCATCATAGTTATGTTTGATGTTGTAATGATTTTCTTCTATATTATTTAGTAAGCTATTTTTAAGATTTCTGCCAGACTATTTAAAAACATTATAGAAGATTAAATTAATAAAAACTTATTAACTGCCAATTAGATAATAATATTTAGCTAATAATATTTTATACACAAAATTAGGTTGATACATAAATATAATAAATTTTAATAAGTACGCCAATGTAATTTTCTCGTCTTGTAAATCATTTTTTATTATCTTAATATTATATTTATTATTGTAAATAAATGTTTTTTTATGTTATAAATATTACTTACAAGAATATTATTTCCGACACTATATTATGTATAAACGAATATACAAATGGCTAAATAAAAGTATTGGACCGATCAAATGTCTTTAAAGGTGCTTAACCAAAAAGTGTATTGTATCGTTTAAAAACAATTTTGATGTCACACACATACACAAAAGTAAATAAAAAGTAGAAGTTCCATTTAAAATTTTAAAATTAGCTTTGCAAACTCATCAGTGGTGCTCGTAAGAGTATTGCCATTTGATGTATTGTTGAAATCTTACAATTCATTTATGAAACATTTTTTTTCAAATCGTTTGTTTTGAAGACATTTTACCGTTCAATACTTTTAATTCACCATGTATATATTATTTCAGCTAATGCTAATCTAATGAATATTCGTAAAAAGTTCATAAAAAGTTCCTAAAATAACTTTCTAAAAGTATTTCGAAATATGTCAAAATATTTACGGAATGTAAAAACAACATTTAAATAATTGTTAAAAATTTCATTTATATTTTTACATATTCGGAGATTATTCCATATATATTTTGCAAAATCATAATTATTATTTCAATATTTAAATCATAATTTATAAAGAATTTCTAAAATAAAAATATTCTTTCTTTTTATGTATAAATCAAACTTTTTATGAATGATTAGCGTTAACTAAGATACACTATTAAAAGATTCTTTTTTATCTTTTAAGTTTTTGATTTTCTACTTACAGAAGGATTGCTATCTCTTTCGACTTCATATGGTTTTGCGTCGACAATCTGTTAAGAATGACACAATGATCTAAATTATTTTTATTTATAAAATTAAAACTATTAAGATGTATCAATTTGCGGTACTTACTGTTCTTTCAAAAACGTCTCCGATAACGGTTAAAATTAATAACATATACAACGCCCGCATTGTCACTATCAATCTCAACACGATTTATATTTAGTACGCAAATATTAATTCTCTGCAAAGTGATATTCTTCTACTTCGAGTATAAAACCAGCTCATGAGTAAATTTCTGAAAAATATTTGGCGTTTGAGAAACTGAGAACTTCCTTTTAAAGGAACGTCGTCGTATCTTATCATTTGAAAATTGAGAAAATTAGAGGAAGGAGACACAGTTGTTTTGAAAATTCTTAAAAGCAGTCATTTTCGTTATCGAGAGTAAGTATTGCGCATATATATTCATATCCAGTTAACATCTATGTTGCGTAAGATATCTAAAAGACGTCTTTTAGATGTCTTATGTTTAAAAGATGTTTAAAAGACATCTTTTAAATATCTTATGCAACATAAATGTTGTCTGAGTGTGCAAATGCATATATAGTAGCATTCGAAAAGTATTTTTTAAGTGACATTTCTATTAATATATGTGCGCACGTTAATCTGCAAACATTGGTGGCGTTATTGTCACAGGAGAGAGTAGAATTCGATTTGCTACTGAAATCGTATATTGAAAGATTAATTTTTTATTTCTCAACAAATATTTATAGTAAGGTGAATCATATGTATTTTGTATTGCCAATAATTAGTACAAATAGCAAGTATACAAGTGTGTAATTAAAATGTTTATGTATGTAGGCATTTGTTTACCTAAGTGTTTTAAACGCCGTATATATAAGGAAATCCAGTTTGCAATTGCAAAGCATTTTAATCTGTCTCAGCAACTTGTGTCTGGTGTAAAAAAGGTTAACTGAAAATGTAAACAACAAACCACGCAACGGTTGACCACATAAGACAACAGAAAGAATGGAGAAAATCACTCGAATAAGATCTAGTGCTGATCCGTATAAATTAGGTAAAGAAATAAGGAATGATTTAGAAAGAAAATTCATTTATAAGCTACTTAATTAAAGTTGTTTAAATTGTAAAACGTCGCTTGACAGTTGTAGGTTTAAATGGGAAGACTTCATTTAAGAAGCGAATGATTAGTACAAAAAATCGAAAGACTATGCTTACATTTGTAAAGAAATATTTGGCATGGACAAAAGATAATTAGGCAAAAGTCTTACAGAATGATAAGAGCAAATTCAATCTCTTTTCCTTTGATGGTATCCCAATACGTTCGCTGTCCTAAAAATAAAAGTTGTTGCAGTAACTAATTTTTTTTTTCAGTGTACTATATTCATTATTGGAACATAGCGAATGATCCTGAATTCATCCTGATGAATTCAATACCCCAACTGCTAATGTCAAATATTTCTTAAATATTCGTAAAATATGTTCCGAAATTTCAAAATAACATCATGGTAAAAATTTCATTAGAAACGGATAGAATATGCATTCCATCAGTTTTTATTAAAATATTTACTTTTCACTTGCTTCTATATAATTGCAGGAGAAAGAAACGCATAGTAAAATAGTCAGAAATGGATAGAATAGATAATTTTTACTTTACATCTGCTGATCCGCTTCTGTCAGCAATTACAGAGAAAAGCAACGCATAGTAAAGCAGTTTGTGTAATATGAAAAATTTGATTTGCTTATGACTTTTAATACGACTTCGTGGCATTTTTTTCTTTTTACAAGAAACATGTCCCTCTTGTGGCAGCGGAATGTATTACGCGCAGACGGATTCCTGTATAGATTATAACTATATGAAATAGAAATCTATCAATGTATCAGCATCTATAAACTTTACAACAGAAAATCTTGCCTGCTTCCGTTTGTAACTTGATGTTGACGATATCTATCTGCAATTATAGATACTGTATCCATCTGCATCTATATGCAATGTTGATCTATAGGAATTTATTTGCAATTACAGTTTCTGTCTATTTCTGTCTGGATTGATAGATAAATATCGTCAACATCTGATGCGTATTCATTCCAAATAAAAATAGACAGTCATTATAATAAGAGTCAAGACAACAGACCGAAAGGACGCCATTACTGGGACGTCGTTTACATGACTCACACGAACAGAGTACGTACACAAACTCTAGTTTTCACTAACACATACACAGTACGTGTATACAAACTCACGTTTTCATTAACACATCGCATGATCCCAGGCATAGCGCTGACCAATCCCGAGGGCCAACCGCTGTTGTCTCGACTTTTATTATAGTGACTCTATATGTGTGGCATGTTCAAACTCAATGGTGTCCCAGCAATGGTGTCTTTCCGGTCTATTATTAATTCTTATTATAGTGACTTTATTACACATACAAACATACGCAAACAAAATTCAAATGCAAAGGGTATAAGGATCGAATTTACTTTGTTTACTTCTAATTATTTTGATTTGTACTTGCTTGTATTGCTTTTATTTGTATTATTTATGTTTTTATTTTGTTGTTATTATTTTAGATTTTATATGGATAATTAAACACAAATGTGTAAGGAATATTTACTATAATGTTTTTACGCAATATAAAAATGTGTACAAAACAGCAGATTTTTCGCTTGCACTCCATTTAACATAATGTGTCACGGAAAAAGTACGGTAAGACTCGTCACTAAAAGACAAAATGAAAAATTGAAAAACTTTCACTCGCCAATTTGGCTGTGTGATGGGTCACAAGAAAATTGATAAATGTAACGAAGTTATCATTTTCCATGATTTAAATAATCCAGAATTTGTAAATGAACCGATTGTACGTGAAGTTGAAGAAACTGTTAATAAAAATAATCAAGATTTAGAAATTGGAGCAACAGATTCTGAGGATAATAATCTTCATTATGATGTCGATTATGAGCCACTCGTAAAGAAAGTTTGTATGAAGAATATTCATCATGTATTCTCTTCGATCTTACAGTTACAGCAGATAAGAATACGTTAAAATCTGTTAGAAGTCCTATTTATTTCTAACTGTTTTTGATTGCTTTTAACAAAAACTGAAAATTTTTACCAGAGTACATTCCAAAATATTATAATATTATATAATATAATACAGAGTGTATTCCGGAATATTTCGAAATATTTACAGAATGTAAGAGCAACATTCAAATAATCGTTAAATATTCCATTCATACATTGTTACATATTCGGAGAATGTTACATATATTTTTTATTCCGCAAAATTATAATTTTCTCAAAAATGTAAAGTTAGAAGATTCTTCGAAAATCTTAAATAAATTTTAAACAAAATTGTCTTTAAAATATTTTATTTATATATATTTACTATAAAGAACTTTTTTTTAATTAATTGGATTCAATTAAATACATTTAGAAAAGTTGCATCTTTCATTTAGAATTTTAGATTGAATAATATACACGATGCACAGAAAAAGTTAATGTTATTTTTATATTGAAAAGTATTGAAATGTGCTTCGTGCAATTCCCATAAATGAATAAAAGTATTCGGATTAAAAAGGATTTATTATAACATTCGCATGTTGAGTATTTCTGAAAATCTGAATCCATTTTGATCCATTTTCGTTTACTGCGCCGGATATCGTGGATGCCTTAATTATTTGTAATTTCACGTCTTCTTTCAGATTTTTGTTGCCAATGATGTCATTTTCCTACTTGAATTTCATCACCCAAGAAGATGCAAATTCACTATCAATACTTCGGTTATTGATAGTGAATTTGCATCTTCTTGGATTTTTAGAGTTAGTGAATGACTTTGTCTTTTGAGTAGAGACTATTATATTAAATGTTTAGCGAGTTCAAAATTATGCAGCAGTTTTGCAGATTATCCTCGTCCTTCGATATTAAGATTATGACATTGACGTAGCGCCTATTATACTATATTATACCTATACATATCGAATTGAGAAATGCTTATTAGCCATCAAAAAATATTGAACGCTCTGGGATATTAATATGCTGCTACTACTAAAAATCAACTCTTGATATCTCAATTGATAGATGAGGTGACATCAAATACCGTATCTACGTCCTCTACTCGGGAAACATATGGTCTAAGTTTAATAAAAATTTTTTGCCAATGGACTTAGAATATATTAATAAAAGCAGAGGTTTTGAGGTTTTTGACGTTATAGATTTTTTCGTTATAGATTGAAAATTTACCCTGGATGGTTCTATTTTTATGTCAGATTCGTATTCAAAATATATAAGAATAGCTATGTCTTCATCCCAGCATATGATGCTTTTTTTCTGTGAGCTTATGATTATCCAGTGATTCAGATTTAGAAAATGAATTTTTACAGAAAATAGAAGTCATATTTTTAATTGTTTATATTTCATATTATTATATTTCCAATTTTGTATTTAAAAATCCTTTAGCACAAAATTCTCGCAGAGAACTATTCATGTGCAAAATGAAAAAAATTCTGAGAGATGATTAATTCACTTCACACGGATTAGCTCATATATAATAATGTGGTTTTATATAATTACTTTTTAATTATTTATGAAAATTATTTATGATAATTTTCTAATGTTTACAAACAATTTGGTATAAAATAAAAAATTCATGGTAAAATCTGATTGTTCAATATTTTTTATTTATTATAAGTGTACAATATTCATAATTAATTAATACAATATTCATAATTAATCTTACAATTTAAAGTACATAAAAAGAAATATAATGTATTCAAGTTATATGTATAATAGTAATAATTATTATAATAAGCATATAATTATGATGTCAATAATAAAAGTTATCTTTTCTGTAAAAAATTTAATTTATTTATATACAAAACTTCAGAAATTATTAAAATATTGCTAAAGATTTTTCATAGGGCAATATTCAATGTTCAGAGATCATATTCAAAACTTACATCATGCGCATTTCATCTTTCCTTTTACAAGTATTAGAACTATTATTGTATATTGTTTATAAATCATGACACATTATTGTATATAAATTACTAGATATACCTAGTATATCTAGTATTAGTTTTAATATAGGGCATATTTGTTCATTCTGCAACATTCAAAGAAATTTTCTGTGGCTACATCAAAGTAGTAAATAATTAATTTTTATCCTATTCTATTGGTATCGTAAATATAGGTGACTTGGGACAGTATAGGTAATTTGAGACAGCATGTATTTTTGTTAAATTTAATCGTGGTATCTATCCATGAGTCTCTAAAG